AGGTCCATCTCTAAATGGAAAGTGCGATTACGTGCCGTGTGCAACAGCAAAGGAGGAAACTTTGCGCATATTTCCGGATTATATGAGGTATGATACGGATATTTTCGAGGCACAGTAATCAAACAGCAGCTGCGGGAGTATTCTGGTAGCTAAAAATTCGCTGTTTTCATGGCGCCGAGAGGAACAATAGATTCAAACGTGGTATACTTTGTACGCTTCTGTCCCATCTACAAGACGAAAAATGATCTAAAAAATCTCGGCATGGTTTTTAACGCCATTCGGTGCATTATGCACGTTTCCATGGTGCTTTTATGCCCGCGCCCTTCCAAATAAAATTATATTTATCAATACATCACTGGGCCGGTACTGTTTTAAACCGATATTTTACCTGATCTTCATAGAATTCAAGGACGCGTTCCATGTTGGGATGAGTCTGGAGGCCATAGGCGAACACTTTCCCAACTTCCATCGACTTGAGGATCTTCAGCCATTCTGTCAGGAGGTAGGAAAGATCCTGCACGAAGTACAGTTGTCTTACACATAATGACACTGCAAGACTTTCGTTGATTAAGGTCTTATCGTCGCGATGAAACACTTTAAGGATGTTGACAGGTTCGTCGGCTTTTGAGGGTAACACTGAGACGGCATCGGGGATCGGTTCCCCTTCCTTCACCGCACATTTCAGTGTGAATGGAACTGACTATCTTTGTTGAATCTCGTGATAGAACACTTTAAACCGCCCCTCACGAAACGCACACGTCAGATTTCTTTAGTAAAATTAGCATTTGAGAGTCGGGACGGATTTTTCAGGTCCGATGATCATGCCGAAAATACGGATTTTACTCTCGTTCCGATGATCGTGGAATGCGGAATACAGATAAATGTCCGTGTCTTGCTTCTGAAAGCGTAGGTGTTGATAATAGAGGTTGTTGAATTGGAGATTGTCGAGGCAGGGATATATTCCAGGAGCTTGGCTCCCCATGTTGCACAAGGGTAGGTAATCCAAGGGGACGTTCAGGAATTTTTTCCAGGGAATCTCATCAAAAAAGAGATGCTTGGGCAATTGGGGGTTTTTCCTTCTTACATAAATAAGTTGGGGATGATGCCTTTCTGCAGTATGCTTCTGGCCCAGGAACATAATGATTGCGAAGCTTAGACACACCATCAACAGAAACAATAGGTACATCGCGTCTTGCAAGTTGAATACAGATTGAGTTCTTTATACCCAGCTGTTTTTTAGACCAGTAAGAAAGGGTAAAAATCAAATGATCGGAAAACTTGCACCTGGATGAAGGCAACTCTAATAAGGAATTTTTTACATTAATGAATAATAGTGAAATATGAATTATTAGATTTTTTTTCCCTTTTAAAGGATGAAAACCTTTATGGATTCAGTGTCCGAAAAGTAATTCCTGTAGAGTACAGGATGTTTATGAAGTCCTTGACAGGTTTTAAATAATTAATAACATTTTACCCATGAAATATTGAACAAAATCGTGCAGTGTTCCACAAAGCCTAACTCTAAAAGTTATTTTTTTAATGTTGATCTTCCCATACGGATGAAATGTTGCTTTGGTCCCAAAATATGAACTTCTCCTAAAATTCAGTCGATTCTGAGATTTCCCTTTGAAATTGGTGAGAGGACACTAACTTCAGGTTATAATCATCATGCAGAAAAGCCTGAACAATATTTTGCAGGCAAATTTCATTCAAAGTCACTTGAGTAATTTTTTTTTTATCTGTGGAAACTGGAATGTTTCATTTCAAGTCAAGGACGAATTGTCATCGGCTTCTTCCACTCATTTTCACTCAACTCAGCCGAATATCACAGGACCAAAAGTGCCATTCCTGCCCAGGAATGAAAAATGTCATCGGGGGTTCTAACACCTGCAACTCAACGATCGCCTCTATTGGAGTTTGGTTCAGGGTTACGAGTACGTTGCCGTGATGGACGCGGACGAGATGATCGCACCTTGCTCTGTCCATCTTCGTCTTGCAGAAGCTGTGGCACGACCTTGATATAGTGGAAGGCATCCAGGGAACGAACCGGAAAAATTACTAATTAGCTAGATAAGATCTACGTCGTTGTCCGTACCTTTAGTAACTTTGTGAATTACATTATAATGAATGTAAAATTTGCACTGTAAAGTGAAGCATTTTCATTCAATTACTGGTAAATGTGTTCATCTTAAAAAAAAAATCTGTTCATATATAATCAAGGAGGAAACAAGGAGGAAATAGATAATCCACGATCCTTTTTTTCGCCTGGTTTAGTTGGGAGCACAGACATGGTGCGAAAAGCACGACAACCCCGAACCTCGTCGTACGGCCTGACCCCAGCGCGCACCGAGCGAGTCGTTCCGGCCGTTCTCGAAGCGCCGTCATAGCTAGGTTGATTGAGAGCCGTCCTTCCTCTTCTCCGCCTGCAGTGACCTCCTTCGAGCCGGGAGGCACTTGGGGGACCAGGGGAACTTTGGGGGGCTGTTTCGTCGCTGGCTGGGACTCGTTCCTCCCTTTGGGCCCAGCATCCCTCCGCGAACTCTACACCCCCTCATCTCTTTCTTTCTTCGCGTTCGTCTCGTCATCGTGAAAATCATGCGAAATATTTTCTGCTGGCATTTTTAGAGCAAATATCTCTGTTTTCGCTTCCTGTCGTGAAAATGTATTCGCTCGGTATCCCGAACTTCATTTTCGTCTCGATGGAGGAAGGAGAAGCTTCCGGATGGCTACAAAATTATTCCATTAAACTGAGGCACACGAAAGCGGCAGAACTCGCCGAAGCTTTGTCTCGGATCGAAGAGATCAACCGCGCGGATTCGATCATGTCGAACCGTTTCTCCGAAAAGCGTTCCTCCGGTAATTGCTCCGCGTTCGTTGCCGCCTTCGAGTTCGTTGAACTTCATCTTCACTGAACTCCGTCTTCGCTGAAACGGCGAGTGGGGAATACCACACAAGACGGGCAGAGTTCGTTCCCAACACTTTTCTATTGGCCCACAAGGACACTTGTGGGCCAACAATGTGGGCCATCACACTCGTCTAGAAGCACGAAATCGTTCAAAATCATCTTTTCGGCTGCAAGATCCCTACTAGAAAAGCAGAGAGACAAACAGACAAACAGACAAACAGACGGACATACGGGCAGATAACCTAGTGCAATTTCGCTTCATTTCCTGGTGCTTCGTTGAACCTTCGACTTAACTCAATCCAGACCGAACATGATAAGATATGCGCGCGAGGGAACCTAAATTAAATCGCTGCAGGATGATAAGATATTCCTTGAATTCTCATGGAAATGATGGCATGGCCATTCGTGTGCGTCGTGAACGGTTTCGACCCGACTTCGCTCTGGGACGACGAGTGACGGGAAAACGGCCTCAACGAAAGGTGGTGTCGAACTTGCGGTCGTCGCTAATAGTTTTCCTCGCCGATTCGTCTGTTGGCAACCGGGTCGGGTATCGTAGTTGATTGGAACGCTCAAATGCACTTCTTAAGTCCGGAGCTTAACTGAAGCTTAAAGCCTCACAGAACCAACATCTTCCTTTGAGTTCCTTAACTTTTTATTCCTTTTCGTCTTTACACAACTTCTGTAAAAGTAGTGGCACCAAATTGCAATTCTGAACATACTGATAGTTTCTTATTTATTTTTAGGCTATGTGCCCTGAAACACAAAAGTTGTTACAATTTTCAGCCGATCGGATGCAATGGTCTCGAAAGAGGAAACGGACTAGACGCCCGTTTTACCAAAGCGGTTCCGTTTTTCAGGATCGAATTCCACCCTCAATACGAGCCAGAGCGAAAGAGAAAAAGACCGGACCGACAATTTATATACTATACATTGTAGAAAACCGTCTCCTTAGTTTTCTCGCTTTCTTGCAGGTGTGCGAATGAACATCGCGAACGTGAAAAATGCGTAAACGAATGCGATATGATTTTGGTGTTTAAGACTATGGACTATGATAATACAAAGGTTTGGTCGCGCCTTCGACGCTCCGTTATCCAGAATATTGTTTAATTCATTTTCGATTCGGAATAAACATAATTATGAACATGCCTGCGATCGGCCTAACGTTACACGTCAACTGCGAAATGTCTGGAATACATCGGACTCACTAACAAACTGCGTTAGTGAATAATGTAGAGAAGGGTGGGGGTATAGCACAAGATGATTGCAACAATAAAGGAAAAAAGTGAAATATGTTTAATGGTTAACTGATTTTAATTCGATTCTCTCATTGAAACGAATGTTCAAAGCACATTACAACATAGAACCACCATCTAGTAATGGAAATAAAACTATCTAGGAAACCAATCACCAGTTCCGAGAGCGGAGCTTTCTGGAAGCATTTCGAAGAAGCCGATGAAAATCGGATTTCAATTGAAATGAAACACTTCTATTTCCACAGTTCGAACAATTTTTTCAAGCGACTTTGAATGGAATTTGCCTTCATAATATTGTTCAGGCTTTACTGGATTATAATTATAACTCGAAGTTGTTCTCTCACCAATATCAAAGGGAAATCTCATAATCGACTAACTTTTAGGAGCATTTCTTATTTTGGGACCAAAGTTACATTTCATGCGAATGGGAAGATCAGCATTTAAAAAATTACTTTTAGAGTTAGGCTTTGTAGAACACTGCACGATGTCGTTCAATATTTCATGGGTAAAATGTAATTAATTATTTACAACCTGTCAAGGACTTCATAAACATCCTGTACTTAACAGGAATTCCTTTTCGGACACTGAACCCGTAAAGGCATTCATCCTTTAAAAGGAAAATGAAACAAATAATTTATATTTCACTATTATTCATTATCATGAATAATTCCTTATTAGAGTTGCCTTCATCCAGGTGCAAGTTTTCCGAGCAGTTCAATTTCACCTTTTCTTACTGTTCCAGAAACAGCTGGATATAAAGAAGAGCTAGATCTGTCATCATGTGGCAAGGCGTGAAGTACCGATTGTTTCTGTTGGTGGTGTGCCTAAGCTTCGCGTTCATTATGTTCCTGGGCCAGGAGCATACTGCAGAAAGGCATCATCCCCAACGTATTGATGGAAGAGGGAAAAACTCCCAATTGCCCAAGCATCTCTCTTTTGATGAGATTCCCTGGAAAAAATTCCGAAACGTCCCCTTGGATTACCTACCCTTGTGCAACATGGGGAGCAAAGCTCCTGGAATATATCCCTGCCTCGACAATCTCCAATTCAACAACCTCTATTATCAACACCTACGCCTTCGGAAGCAAGACACGGACATTTATCTGTACTCCGCATTCCACGATCATCGGAACGAGAGTAAAATCCGTATTTTTGGCATGATCATCGGACCTGAAAAATCCGTCCCGACTCTCAAATGTAAATTTTACGAAGGAAATCAGACGTATGGGTTTCGTGAGGGGCAGTTTAAAGTGTTCTATCACGAAATTCAACTGGGATGGCCAGTTCCATTCACGCTGAAATGTGCTCTGAAGGAAGGAGAACCGATCCCCGATGCCGTCTCAGTGTTACCCTCAGAAGCCGACGAACCTGTCAACATACTGAAAGTGTTTCAGCGAGACGAAAAGACCTTGAGCAACGAAAGTCATGCTGTGTCATTATGTGTAAGACAACTGTACTTCGTGCAGGATCTTTCCTACCTCCTGACAGAATGGCTGGAGATCCTCAAGTCGATGGAAGTTGGGAAAGTGTTCGCCTATGGCCTCCAAACTCATCCCAACATGGAACGCGTCCTTGAATTCTATGAAGATCAGGTAAAATATCCGTTTAAAACAGTACCGGTCCACTGATGTATTGGTAAATATCATTTTATTTGGAAGGGCGCAGGCATAAAAGAACCATGGAGACGTGCATAATGCACCGAATGGCGTTAAAAACCATACCAAGATTTTTGTTCTCATTTTTCTTCTTGCAGATGAAAAAAACGTGTAAAAATTATTCCACATATGATATTCCTCTCGGCCCGATAAAAACTTTGAATTTAAATCTACCGGGCTACACACACAGTAGGTGTTTGACTACGGTGGCTAAAAAAATATCCATATACTTTAATACTGAAACATGCTCAAAATTTCCTCCATTAGTCATGCTCACAGCAAGTAATCGAGTTTTTTTGGGATCTGATGCGGGACGCTGAGGGAATACAGGGTCGGCATGCCGTCAAAACATCGAAGTGATTCTAAGCAAGAGCGTCTGAACCCTGCGAAACTCACGGAAATTCCACTTACTCCCATCGTACCCGCGTTACCGGTTGTCACGCGAAGGCATCTCATACCGAGGAAGGAAATCTCATTCTGATTTAACTTTTACCGTGGTCAAAGTATCCCTTGGTATTCTTAGACGTATCACAAAATCAGCCTTGAAAGTATATCGTTTCGGATTGTATCACGCCTGTTGGCGCACTATTAAGCGGAGTAAGGTAAGGGAATTAATACCACTTTTTCATTGGTACGATGACGTCGTAAATTCTTTCCTATCAGAGTGGAAACAAGTCCTCCCGGAAAAAGCCCTTTGGACCGAGGAATCTTGGTTTTTTTCCGTCTGATATGAGATACGTAAAATTTTATATTATGGAAATCTCACTCCCGTTCCGTGTGCATGAACGGATATCCAAGAATATCTGCTATCTCCATATTTTCCCCATAAAACCCGTATTGCCTTCGTGAAGATAATATGTCGCGCCCATTGTCTTACTGCATGGTATGGACTATCCTGGAAACGCTTAAGCTGATCGGGGGGATTTCAGAACAAATTATTTATGCGAAATCCCTCAAATGTATTCGCAATTTATTAAACGTCCCGCCATAGGAAAACAAATCCGGAAAACACCTTCTCCTAAAAACAGCCTAAGTTTTCCTTCATGCAAAACCCTGGCATGAAGTGAAGCGGCCGTGGCCACGCCACAAAAGGGAGTTAACCGAATCTCGGCAAAGCAGGAGAGGTGCCCAATGATTCCTCCAGTCCACGGTCATACGCCTTCCTGCAGAAAAACGATCGGATTGATGGACTCGATCGAGCTTCAATCGAGCATTAATCAAAGGTGATTCTCGTCCTGGTCAATCATGGTGGTGTTAGACGATCTCATGGTACGGTCAATTTCGGGTAGACGATTCTAAGATCTCCTTGATGTTCGGCATCTTCTATTAAATAGATAAAAATATGCCAAAGGTGCATCTTATAGTAATTATGAGATGCATCTCGGTTTGAAGGGCGTCTCCGATGACTATCCGATGTTCTTCTTGAGAATCCTCATCATACTGGAAATTCTCCCAATTTTTTGGAATCGAGAGAGAGAAAACTCGTCAAGTAATAAATATACAATAACAATAAATAATATTTTTGGTTGCAGGGAGGATTCGTGGATTACATCCCGATCACCTTTCCTGGAACTCAGCCGAACATCCCAGGACCCAATGGACCTTTCCTGCCCAGGAATGAAAATTTCCATCGGGGATTCTACCACCAACGTGAAGAATTCAGGCCTCGAATTGACTTCGAATTTCGGAGTGTCTTGGTTGTAGAAGGAAACTCAAGGAATTGAAAAATAAGGAAAAGCAGAAATGTGTTGAAGACATTTTCATCACCGTGGTTTGTGCAATTCTGAACATACTGATAGTTTTTTTAAAATCATTTTTAGGCTATGTGCCCTGAAACACAAAAGTTGTTACAATTTTCAGCCGATCGGATGCAATGGTCTCGAAAGAGGAAACGGACTAGAAAACCGTAGAAAACCGTCTCCTTAGTTTTCTCGCTTTCTTGCAGGTGTGCGAATGAACATCGCGAACGTGAAAAATGGGAAACGTGAAAAAGTTTGGGGGAACATAAACGCCATCTTTTGTCGATTTTGCGAATTGCATTGAGATTCCGTACATTTGCGTCTGCAACGTACACGAGCTGGACTCCACAAGTGGGACAGAGGGGCGCAATATTATAATAATTAATTAGAATAATTTTTAACGATATTGACGCATTCTTATGACCGAAACTTTCCCCGACGTTCTGTTTTTCTTATTTTTGTGAAACTGTTTATATAAAAATAAGGAACATTTTTTTTTACATGAAAAAGTGGCTTACGGTGTTGTGTCGTCATGGATGCCATTTCTTTCTTCAGCAAATTCAAAACGCCTATGGCCTCGATCCAATCCGGGCATTTAAATGTTAAATACATAAATGGGAAATACGTGAAGCACTGCGAATTCAAGAGCGTGCCCGATGTGCCCAAGAGGAAGCTTTGGAGATTCCTGCCGCGTTCGAGTGCCTTAGTTCAATGGAGAGATTCTGTAGCCGTCAGGAAGTTTCTCCTTCCTCCATCGGAACGAAAGTGTAGATCGGGATACCGAACGTAAACACTTTAATGACAGGAAACGAGGAAAAACTATTTGCTCCGAAAAGCCAGCAGAAAATCTTTCACTCGATTTTCACGATGACGAAACGAACGAGTCGAGAGAAAGATGAGGGCGTGGAGAGTCCGCGCTCGGATGCTGGGCCCAAAGGGAGGAAAGAGTCCCATGCAGCGACGAAACAGCCCCCCAAAGTTCCCCTGGTCCCCCAAGTGCCTCCCGGCTCGAAGGAGGTCACTGCAGGCGGCTCTTCCCTGAGAAAAAAAAGGACTGGATGCCACCCAGATTCGCCGGCGATTCGAGAACGGCCGGAACCACGGCCGTACCAAGAGATTCCGTGTTGCCCTGCTTTTGGCCCCCAGGCTCCGTTCGCAAGTAAACCAGGCGAACAATTTGGGCCCTATTTTATCTGTGCACTATCCCGAACGGTTTCCCAGAGGGTCGCGCGAGGAAACGGAATCGAAAAGACGTGGTAAAATCCACAGAAATTTGGCCTCTCCCGTTCCTCGCCCAAGGAATCGGACTTTAATTTCATCCAATGACGTCCCCCGCTTTCATCCGCGCCCTCCCCTCATCCTCGACCGGCATCTCGCGAATTCCGATTCGAAAATTCGGTTCTTCCTTGCTCTGACTGCTTCCGGCATCTGACTCAGCTGTGTTCCTAAGTGTTCCACAAAGTCTAACTCTAAAAGTTATTTTTTGAATGCTGATCTTACCATACAGATGAAATGTAGCTTCGGTCCCAAAACATGAACTTCTCCTAAAATTGTGCCGATTCTGAGATTTCCCTTTGAAATTGGACACAACCTTCAGGTTATAATCATCATCCAGAAAAGCCAGAACAATATTTTGCAGACAAATTAAATTCAAAGACACTTGAATTAGTTTTTTTATTTGTGGAAACTGGAATGTTTCACATCAATTGAAGTACGATTTTCATTGGTTTCTTCCACTCATTTTCACTCAACTCAGCCGAATATCATAATACCCAAAGGGAGTTTCCTGCCCAGGAATGAAAAATTTAATCGGTGGTTCAAACACCTGCAACTCAACAATTGCTTCGTTGAACCTTCGGCTTAACTCACTCCAGACCGAACATGATAAGATATGCGTGCGAGGGAACCTAAATTAAATAGCTGCAGCATGATAAGATTTTCCTAGAATTCTCATGGAAATGATGGCATGGCCATTCGTGTGCGTCGTGAACGGTTTCGACCCGATTTCGCTCTCGGGGCCGAATGGGACGACGAGTGACGGCAAAACGGCCTCAACGAAAGGTGGTGTCGAACTCGCGGTCGTCACTAATAGTTTTCCTTGCCGATTCGGCTGTTGCCAACCGGGTCGGGTATCTTAGTTGATTCGAACGCTCAAAACATGAAGAATTCAGGCCTCGAATTGACTTCGAATTTCGGAGTGTCTTCGTTGCAGAAGGAAACTCAACGAATTGAAAAATAAGGAAAAGCAGAAAAGTGTTGATGACATTTTCATCACCGTGGTTTGTGCAATTCTGAACACACTGATAGTTTTTTATTTATTTTTAGGCAATGTCTAGGCCTCACTTTAGGCCTAGGCCTTTAGGCAATGTCTAGGACTCACGAAACCCATACGTCTGAAGGAAATCAGACATATGGGTTTTGTGAGGGGCAGTTTAAAGTGTTCTTTCACGAAATTCAACTGGGATGGCCAGTTCCATTCACGCTGAAATGTGGGCTGAAGGAAGGGGAACCGATCCCCAATGCCGTCTCAGTGTTACCCTCAGAAGCCGACGAACCTGTCAACATCCTGAAAGTGTTTCAGCGAGACGAAAAGACCATGAGCAACGAAAGTCATGCTGTGTCATGTGTAAGACAACTGCACTTCGTGCAGGATCTTTCCTACCTCCTGACAGAATGGCTGGAGATCCTCAAGTCGATGGAAGCTTTTTGACTACGCTGGCTAAAAAATATCCATAGCACATATCCTTTAATACTGAAATATGCGCAAAATGTCCTCCTTTAGTCATGCTCACAGCAAGTAATCGAGCTTTTTGGGATCGGATGCGGGACGCTGAGGGAATACAGGGTCTACATGCCGTCAAAACATCGAAGCGATTCTAAGCAAGAGCGTCTGAACCCTGCGAAACTCACGGAAATTCCACTTACTCTGTCGTACCCGCGTTACCGGTTGTCTCGCGAAGGCATCTCATACCGAGGAAGGAAATCTCATTCTGATTTAACTTTGACCGTGGTCAAAGTATCCCTTGGTATCCTTAGAAGTATCACTACATCAGCCTTGAAAGTATATCGTTTCGGATTGTATCACACCTGTTGGCGCACTATTAAGCGGAGTAAGGTAAGGGAATTAATACCACATTTTTATTGGTACGATGACGTCGTAAATCCTTTCCTATCAGAGTGCAAAGAAGTCCTCCCGGAAAAAGTCCTTTGGACCGAGGAATCTGGATTTTTTTCCGTCTGATATGAGATACGTAAAATTTTATATTATGGAAATCTCACTCCCGTTCCGTGTGCATGAACGGATTTCCAAGAATATCTGTTATCTCCATATTTTCCCCATAAAACCCGTATTGCCTTCGTGAAGATAATATGTCGCGCCCATTGTCTTACTGCATGGTATGGACTATCCTGGAAACGGTTAAGCTGATCGGGGGGATTTCAGAACAAATTATTTATGCGAAATCCCTCAAATGTATTCGCAATTTATTAAACGTCCCGCCATAGGAAAACAAAACCGGAAAACACCTTCTCCTAAAAACAGCCTAAGTTTTCCTTCATGCAAAACTCTGGCATGAAGTGAAGCGGCCGTGTGCTTATTACTCGTCAAGTAATAAATATACAATAACAATAAATAATACTTTTGGTTGCAGGGAGGATTCGTGGATTACATCCCGATCACCTTTCCTGGAACTCAGCCGAACATCCCAGGACCCAATGGACCTTTCCTGCCCAGGAATGAAAATTTCCATCGGGGATTCTACCACCTGCAACTCAACGATTGCCTCTATAGGAGCTTGGTTCAGGGTTACGAATACGTATCCGTGATGGACGTGGACGAGATGATCGCACCGAACCCCGAAAACCGAAGCTGGCCCCGACTGATGCAGAGCCTTGTCCCGAAAAACCCGGACTGGGACTGCTACTATTTCCAGACCCGGATCATCCTGATGGAGGAGGGCGAAACAACCGGGTGGAAACAGGACTACACCATCAAGCTGAGGCAGACGAAAGCGGCGGAATTCCCGAAAGAGTCATCTCGGGTCGGAAAGAGCATCTGCACGACCGAGAAGCAAGAGATCATGTCCAACCATTTCTCCGAGATCTGCTACCCCGGCGACCGCCCCTGCGCCATGTTCGTCGCCCCCACAGACTTCGGGGAACTCTATCATTACGGGAAATGCTGGGTTGGGAATTGCACCGGGTCGGGAGGGAATGCCACCTGCGACGGACAGAGTTGTGATGTGGTTCAAAAGAGTTCTCTGCTGGCTCACAAGGACTCCGTCCGGCAGGGCGTCTTCGACACATTGTTGAGACTAAATCTCCTTCCGTAGGTCCCTCGTATGGCCATGTTGAAGATCATTAGTTCTATTCTTGATGCAACAACAATCATGGAAAACTTTGAAACACATAATGTAATCAATAAATGTGAAATTAGCACTTCAAACTCAGGCATGTTCAAGCAATTACTGATTCATGTGGGGATCTTAAAAAAGAGTTACTTTTTGTTTAGATCAATGAAACCGCCTTTGGATTTTTATCCATCTCAACGAAGTTTCATCGACACGATTCAACCGCATTGAACCGCACCTAACTCTGCGTGAGACAACTCGTCCATATCGTCGATTTGAAAGGAAGAGAACATGAATTTAAAAGATGATGTTCGTTAACCAGTCAACGTGCATTTTCCCACACATTTCTTCGTCCCAAACCCGTAATCCATGTTTTAGTGCCAACATTTCCATTTTGATCGCTCAGAGACCCACGTATCACGGGCAAGCCTGCAGGATTTTGTTGCGTCATATCCTCAGACCAATGCGCCCATATCGTCTCCAATATGCCTGATCGATTGGAATGACCTAGTCACGTCAAGAGGTGAAGTCACGAAGATTTATTGCCGATGCCCGAAATATTTTGGAGCATGTGACGTTATTTTTAGAGCTAATAACTTTTTACCTGTTTGTAATATCGCGATTTGCTTCGGTCATCAGCTAGCACACATTTACGTTGAGGTCCTTTGATTACAACTCTCCAGTTATTTGCGAAATGAAAAATAAGAAAGAGTTGGCAGGGAAAACCAGCCTGCCCGAACCCTTTTGGTTATGGGTCCGAACAATTTTTTGAGCCGTGTATTGTCCTGTCACAAAGTTGACAGGTGGATCATTGAACTTAAAATGCAGTAATGGTTTGTGCCCTATCGTCTCTACTGCCAATTGGAATAGCTTACAGAATTTTGGAGCCAAAAAAAGCGATTTCGACGAGTCTAATATATTTATATGTTTATAAATTTTGGCTTCAATACCAATTCTTTTGAAAGGGCTCTCAGACCAAGGATATTGGCCAGAGAGGCGTATGTGAGGTTTTAAAGGCTTTTTAAAACAAGTTTCGCTTGTTTTCCCTTCCTAAAAAGTGGCTTGGCAAGAAGACAGGCGGGGGACTTCATTGGATGAAAGTCAAGTCCGATTTATTTTCCGAGGAACGGAAGAAGACTAATTTCTGTAGATTTTCCCGCGTCTTTTCGATCATGGTTTCTCGCGGGACACTCAGGGAAACCGTTTGCAGTAGGAAATAGATAATCTAGGATCCACAGTTTCTGCCTGGTTCAATTGCGAATAGAGTCGAGGGGCGAAAAGCACCACAACCCCGAATCTCTTTGTACGGCCTGTCCCCAGCGCTGCACCCAGCGAGTCATTCCGGCCGTTCTCGAATCGCCGTCGAATCTGGGTGGCTTCAGAGCCGTCCCTCCTGTTGCCCGCCTGCAGTGACCACCGTTCTTCGCGCAGGGAGGCACTTCCTGGGGGGACCTTGGGCACCTTGTTTCAAGGACTGTTCCGTCGCTGCATGGGACTCGGTCTTCCTTTTTGAGATTCCCTCGCGCGAATATATTATCATGTTTAGTCTGGAGTGAGTTAAGTCGAAGGTTTAACGAAGCACATGGGAAAGAAGCGAAATTCCACAAGGTTATCTGTCCGCCTCTTTGCGTTTCTAAACAGCAAAGCAGAAACGTAAAGCTTCGAAGAGTGCTTTAATGGCAACATCGTACGGCTCCCCGTCCCTGACAGGCAGCGAACTGTCGCTGATAACACGCGGACAGAGCCTCCATTTCGCACTGGACTGTCTCATGACCTTTTCCAGTTATCATGGGGCCAGTTGGTAACAAGACCACCCTGATCTGCAGGGACAGTCTTTCATGTTTATTTAAAGTTGGCCGCTAATTTTTCAGAGGGGAAAGAAGAAAAAAACAACTCTTTATTCGTTGGTTCATACCTCTCTGTTCCCGTGCAAAACCCCAGTGTTTAAAATTTTCCAGTCATTGATTGCCATTGAAACATGATAACTATTCTTTTACTGAATACTGATTTGTACTTATTATGATAAGATGAATGAAGGGAAAGGAAGAACACTCTTCTCCTAAGCTCCGGTGCGTCTCGCCTCGACTTCGAAAGTTCGGGGGAACATAAACGCCATCTCTTGTCGATTTTGCGAATTGCATTGAGATTCCGTACATCTGCGTCTGCAACGTACACGAGCTGGACCCCACAAGTGGGACCGAGGGACGCAATATTTACCTCTCGCATCTGTACGATCTGGCTGTCGAACAGATGATTTTGAACGATATTGACGCATTCTTATGACCGAAACTTTCCCCGAGGTTGTTTTTCTTATTTTTGTAAAACTGTTTATATAAAAATAAGAAAAAATTTTTTTTTTTTTAAATGAAAAAGTGGCTCACGGTGTTGTGTCGTCATGGATGCCATTTGTTTCTTCAGCAAATTCAAATCGCCTATGGCCTCCATCCAATCCGGACATTTGAATGTTAAATACATAAATGGGTAATACGTGAAGCACTGCGAATTCAAGAGCGTGCCCAATGGCATTCGAAATGGCAAATGAGGATTTTTGCAATGGGAGGGAGATAGCGAAGGAATCGACGTTGTAGCTGATGAACCGTCAGTGAGTGTTAAAAATCAGCTGATCGGAAACTGAAATGGTGATGTGTCGTGGATGAAGCTAAGAGTCTAGCCGATTTTAATTGAAATTAATGGGTGAAAATCCTTCTGTGCTGTGGCATATGAGAATAAGCGTGCCTTTGGCTTGTGACTCTTTACCTTTTTGACTAGTTATCGGGTAATTCATGGGGCGGGGGAGGTAAGTCCACGTGGGGAATATTATCAGCTATTCATATTTCCTAGCATTACTCCAGTTGATGGGCACATGTCAAACTGTTTTGCGATATTGGTCATGATGCTTTTTACGTCAGAGGAACGCTTCCGCGCGACGAGTGTGATGGCCCACATCGGTAGCCCACAAGAGTCATTGTTGGCCGGCAGGAAAATATTGTAAACGGCCTCTGCCCGTCGCGTGTGGCAATCCCACCTTCATCCGGTGCATTTCCCCACATGGCCTTTCAGCGAAGACGGAGTTCAACGAAGTCGATGGCGGCGACGAACGCGCAAAGGTCACCGGAGGAACGGTTGGATATTCTCTTTCTTTCCCGTAACCACGCGGTTGCTCCTTCCGATCCGAGAGGAAGCTCTCGGGTCGGATCTCTTTGGAGATTCCTGCCGCGTTCGAGTGCCTTAGTTCAATGGAGAGATTCTGTAGCCGTCAGGAAGTTTCTCCTTCCTCCATCGGAACGAAAGTGTAGATCGGGATACAGAACGTAAACACTTTAATGACAGGAAACGAGGAAGAACTATTTGCTCCGAAAAGCCAGCAGAAAATCTTTCACTCGATTTTCACGATGACGAAACGAACGAGTCGAGAGAAAGTTGAGGGAGTGGAGGAGTCCGCGCTCGGATGCTGTGCCCATAGGGAGGAACGAGTCCCAGGCAGCGACGAAACAGCCCCCCAAAGTTCCCCTGGTCCCCCAAGTGCCTCCCGGCTCGAAGGAGGTCACTGCTCTTCCCTGAGAAAAGAAAGGACTGGATGCCACCCAGATTCGCCGGCGATTCGAGAACGGCCGGAACCACGGCCGTACCAAGAGATTCCGTGTTGCCCTGCTTTTGGCCCCCAGGCTCCGTTCGCAAGTAAACCAGGCGAACAAAAAGGACTGGATGCCACCCAGATTCGCCGGCGATTCGAGAACGGCCGGAACCACGGCCGTACCAAGAGATTCCGTGTTGCCCTGCTTTTGACCCCCAGGCTCCGTTCGCAAGTAAACCAGGCGAACAATTTGGGCCCTATTTTATCTGTGTACTATCCCGAACGGTTTCCCAGAGGGTCGCGCGAGGAAACGGAATCGAAAAGACGTGGGAAAATTCACAGAAATTCGGCCTCTCCCGTTCCTCGCCCAAGGAATCGGACTTTAATTTCATCCATTGAAGTCCCCCGCTTTCATCCGCGCCCTCCCCTCATCCCCTCCCCTCATCCGCGCCCTCCCTTCATCCTCGACCGACATCCCGCGAATTCCGATTCGAAAATTCGGTTCTTCCTTGCTCTGACTGCTTCCGGCATCTGAGTCCGCTGCGTTTGGGGAAAAAAGAAGGCAGCGTCATGACATTGTGAAACGTCAAGTAATTTCTGATCTGGCAGTCTTTTCAAGTAATTTGTTATCCGGAATTTTTTTTCAAATAATTTTTGATCCGGCAGCCGAGACGATCTATTTCTGCTCTGAAGTTCTTCGCAGCACGCGCTTCGAATTCCGCCGTTTTCGCCATCGTCAATGACTCAACTTTGTAAAATTGGATTGAAATTAAAATTGGATTAAAATTGAGATTGGATTGAAATTAAAATTGGATTGAAATTGAGATTGGATTGAAATTAAAATTGGATTGAAATTAAAATTGGATTGAAATTAAAATTGGATTGAAATTGAGATTGGAAAAAATTGAGATTGGATTGAAATTAAAATTGGATTGAAATTAAAATTGGATTGAAATTAAAATTGGATTGAAATTAAAATTGGATTGAAATTAAAATTGGATTGAAATTAAAATTGGATTGAAATTAAAATTGGATTGAAATTAAAATTGGATTGAAATTAAAATTCCATTCAATTTCAAATTGGATTGAAATTGAAAAAAAAATTGGATGTTGAATGGAAGATGGATCGGCAGGAAGCGGAGACGTTCGCAGATTATTTCGTTTCGTCGATTCCTGCCCTTCCGCGGCAGCGGGTGGAAACGGAAGATAAGGAAGACGACGAAATATTTTTTTTTTTTCCCATGACCCTGGACGATGAAAAAAAAAAAACGTTCTGGGGATCGTCGGCTTCAAGGTCGGTGAAGCGTTTCCTCTGCGTCGCCCGGGGGAGTGGGCAGTCCGAGACCGGAGGGAACCGTCGATTGCACCCGCTTTCGTCCTCTTGGACGCTTTCGAGATGCGATTCTTCGTTCTATTCGTGAGTCTCCTCGTTTTTTTTCGTGAGTCTCCTCGTTTTTTTCGTGAGTCGATCCTGGAATTTTTTTCGGTGGGATTTTTCGCAGGCGGCGATCCTGTTGGCGCTGTGGGCCGTCGTCGGCGGCACCCGATCCCGCGGGTACGACGATGCGCGACTCGCGCGAAGGTCCTACGGCGATGGAAACCCGCGAAACAGATACGCGAACATGTGAGTCCGACGCCCGCTCTTTTCGCTGGCTCGTTCGCCGGCTCAATTTCATTTTTTAAATTCCGTTTCGTTTTTTTCCCAGCGGGAATCCGTACAGCGTGGAAAACGACTACTCCCGATACGATATAACCAGTATGGGACTTCGCTGATGCATTCTTCGCTGATGCATTCTTCGCTGATGCATTCTTCGCTGATGCCTCCTCGTCCTCGACTTCCTCTTTCTTCCCTTTCTTTCTCGGAGAATGTCCATGAATGAAAACCCGTTTTTCCACCCGATTTGCTTCGTCTTCTCTTCGCATCCGGTGAAGGTGCTGGCAGACCGAAGACCAAGGAATCATCTAAGAATCATATAAGGGCCATATCAGGGTCACATAAGGGAGGGAGGAGTAGCAAAGGAAGTCAGATTAGTGGGCTCATTTCCTCCAGCTGCAGCCGGTTGTCTCTTCGTCCGTTTCCTACGCCAAGGAACGGAAATCACGAGATTCAAGGACGGTGGTAATTCCGTCGAAAACCTTTCTTCCACTTCCTTCGATGACGAAGACTAAGGAAGCTCTAGGATGAGAGATAAGAAGAAACGAAAACGCCTCGTACGCATCCTTTTGCATCCACGATCGACATCCCCCGATCCTCCCGTAAAGAGATGGACTGCGTGTTTCCCGGTCGCCTCGGTGAGGGAAAAAGGGGGATTCCCCGCGCTAGAGAGAGTGCATCCAAAGGGATGTCGACTGCATCCAAAGGGATGTCGACTGCATCCAAAGGGATGTCGACTGCATCCAAAGGGATGTCGACTGCATCCATGGGGAAGTCCATCCGTCACACGCTCTTCAGGAACCTGAAACGAGGGCAACACCTCAGGCCCTCATTTCAGGCACCTAAACGGAATATTGTCCGGAAATCGGTGCATATCGCATGACGCGAAAGAAAGTGCGACAGCGAAGTACCTCTATCTTCATCCAGAGAAGAAATTTAAAAAAAGAAATATGGGGATATGAAGTCGACTGAATGAAGACATTGCAACCTTTCTTGAAAACAATGGCGTCGGAACGTCCGAGACCGGTCAACACATTCTGAGACCGGTTCAATGACCGTTTCAATTCCAGAGTCCTGGAACACGACCTCCACCTGAGACGACCTCCACCTGAGACGACCTCCACCTGAGACAACCTCCACCTGAGACGACCTCCACCTGAGACGACCTCCACCTGAGACGACCTCCACCTGAGACGACCTCCACCTGAGACGACCTCCACCTCCATGCCTGCAATGCATGATCCAAGCTGAGTCTTGTCGTAAGAGGCATTCTTTCAGAGGCAAGACTGAAAATTCTGGACATGCGAGAGGAGCCTTTTTCCATGGTGTTCTGCCCTCACAGGAGCGCTGAAACCATGCAGACTTTCGCTGAAGGGAATCTCGGTGACGATGATTTGAAGACCTGAGCACCCGCGGCACCTTCGCCACGAATGGATTGTGCGCTGGTTGCGGTTGCCAGGCCTTCGGTTGGCTCTCCGGATTCCTGCACGTATGTCGATGGGCATTCCTCGACTCATTGAAAGGCGGAAGAGATTCTCCGCTGTTTTTTTTCCGACCGTCGACGGTTCCCATTCCGTAACGGAGATTGGAATGGACAACCAGCTGCAGCGACAGGGAAAGGGACAAATTTTTCTCACATCCTTTGCTGATACTCGACGCGCTATCTAAATACCATGCTTTCGGATTGAGTTGATGTTTCCTGTTGTGGAGAACGGAGAAAGCACAAGATTTCAAGACGATCGGCTTGATGTCAGCTGTGCTGCACGGCACGGTTGCCGGATGGTCGGTGATAATTGAGCTTTTGGGATGACGGTAGAGAAGAAAAGACGCTTTCGCCGTCTTGGAATTCAAATGAAGGCCATGAATGACCTTGAAAGGAAAATTCCCCAGTTTCCAGGAAATCGCAATTACTGGTAAATTGGTGGTGCAACCCTTTTAGGGAGAAATATTGGAAGCCAGCTTACTCATTCGTGAGACTGCGAAGTCGGCCCGAGATTCGTTCAGCCGTTGATCATGGGGCGGGGATATTAAAACTCGAGGAACCGAGGTTGAACGAAGGTTGAACAGGCTTCCACTGCCTTCCCATTGCCTTCCCATTGCCTTCCCATTGCCTTCCCATTGCCTTCCCATTGTTTTCCATTGCATTCACTTTCACATTCCGTCGAGCCCACAGGCGAATCCAGAGGGGAGCGGCTGACAGCCCGAAGAAGGAAATTTTTAACCGGCCGATCGGATTCCAACTTGATGGTCCCGCGTGCTCGCAAAGTGAAGTAACTGCTGAGTCCTTGTGAATTTTTTTTTTCCGCAGGATGTGTTGGTTGGAAATTCCTCTTTCCATCAATTGATGAAGCCCAAGACCTTCACAACAGTCTCGATTTTAAGAGATGTTTATTTCATCACGTGCATGAGCATCGAAACCGAGTTCTGGTTTCGAGGGCCTTTCGGGGCCCTCGAGGGCCCTCGAGGGCCCTGGAGGGCCCTTCCCCCGCAGCGATCAGCTAACCACTAATAAATAAGAGATCAATGAGGAAACCGAGCGAGAATTAATCATGAACGCCGATAAGATAGAGCATGCACGACTCGCAAATCTAAATGGATTATCCTTTAATCTGTCGTGAATCATTCGGTCCACAGGTTCGCCATCGCGATGGTGCGTGGCGATGAGCGTCGCAAAACTGGTAACTGGAAGCAAAGGTAATCTAATTTCATTTTTTCCGATTCTCCATCGTTTCCTTCTCACGGACGAGGCCTCCCCCCCCCCCAACACACAAATATTATTTTAGCGGGCTCCTTCATTCCAAGAACTTTCTTGAAGTTTCTGATGTCACCGTGCACTGCATGTATTAGAGAGTGTCAGGTTATACCTGCTGTACCGAAAATTGCCAGATTCCATCCACCAAGGGGGAGGGAGGAGGGCCGGGGGGGGGGGGGGGAAGGGAGACTTGAGAACCATCGGTGCTATTAAAGAAAGCTTCGCATGTGCTTTGAGGATGGTCAGCGGATCTGGCCTTCGTTTCAGATTTTTATCGGGATCTCAAACCGACTGTGTGGTTAACAAGGGTACGACAGGGTAAGGGTGAGAAATGCGTGGACGTTTCAGACTCAGATCATTAAAATTTCCCTATTTTTGACTTGCCGGAACATGGGCCTCTCCCGTGGAAATGCTTCAGATCGTCTCTGGTCAAACTGAGAATTTTTTAAATACTTTCCTAGAATTGAAAGTCACGTTTGAGTAATTTTCTGGATCTGCAAGAAGCTCGGAATCTGCAAAGGATGCAGCCAGATGACACATCGTGTATCTTCTACATCTTCCTCTTGCATATCTTCCTATTTCCTTCCATAAAAATGATTGATTGCATACCCTCATCATGAAAATTTGATTCCTCATACCAAAATGACTATATCGAAGGTGTTCCACGATCATACCGTAGAATATACGGACTTCATTTTCGGCGGATACGATGGTAAGGCATCACACACGAATGGACAAGATAGTGCAGCAAAATGTCAGGCTCCTACGTTAATAATAAAAAAATTATATAATGAAGAAGCCTCGCAATCCAAATCCACGTCAATTAACACCTGCACGTCGTCCTTCCTAGAGCCACCTCGTGCAGCTTCACCAGAACTCGACCTGTTGCTCTCTCTGATCTGTTGCTCTCTCTGATCTGTTGCTCTCTCTGATCTGTTGCTCTCTCTGATCTGTTGCTCTCTCTGATCTGTTGCACTCTTTGATCTGCTGCAATTATACAGGGCATCCTTATTATACAGGGCGGCGCAGCAAAAATATGCGATTTTCACTTGTGGGGGAACCTTAAGGGTAAAATGTAACAGAACAATGAAAGAACAAATGATAAGTTAAAGCACAACATCGGTGCTGCAATTACCGCCATTTCTGAGGAAGAACTGTATGCATTGCAGTTCTTTCTATGCTGTACGTGGTTCGGACATGTATTGCCCCAAAGGGACATCACTTCCAGCTCATCCTGTAATGTTATAACCCTAACAGTATGGCATGTACACGTACTGTAGGTACTTTTGTCATCAATAATAATAAAAACAATACTACTAATGTTTTCAAATTAAGCATATTCACATACAAATGTATATGCAGGGCCTCTTTTAACTGCGCCACCTTGCATTTCAAGTTATGGTATCATACAGGTCCACGCAAAATGACTTTTCGGAAAGTCTTGCGAACCGTTTTTCCGGTTACGATAGCGACGGAACGTCACCATCGCCTGCATGTGTTGGAATTGTTGCATTTGTCTTCGTTCTAATTTCGTCTCTTTCATCTTTCTCTTCCGTCATAGGCACGAGATGCCGACTGCTACTCTTCGTAGCATGCATGGCTTTCGTATTTGCTGCCTTCCTGGACTTTGGTCGTCTCAAACTTCTTTCGAAGAGGTCAAAAGTACTCCCATCCACAAGAAATTCCATGGTGGAGAGGATTCCGTGGAGAAGATTCAGGACCATCCCCTTGGATTCCCTTCCTTTTTGCGAAGATATGGACGTTTATCTCTATTCCGCTTTTCATGACCATCGGAACGAGAGCAAAATTCGTATTTTTGGCATGATCATCGGACCTGAAGACTCCGTTCCTAGTCTCCAATGCACATTTTATAAAGGAAACCAAACCTATGGGTTCCGCGAGGGGCAGTTTAAAGTATTCTATCACAGAATTCAACAGACATGGCCTCTTCCATTCACGCTTAAATGTCCACTGACAGAAGGAGAACCTATCCCTGACACGGTCTCAGTATTATCTCCAGAATCCGACGAAACAATAAACATACTGAAAGTGTTTCACCGAGACAAGAATACCTTGAATAGCGAGAGTCATGCGGTATCCCTGTGCGTAAGGCAACTCTACTTCGTGCAGGATCTCTCCTACCTCCTTACGGAATGGCTGGAGATCCTCAAGTCGATGGAAGTGGGGAAGGTGTTCGCTTATGACCTCCAAGCTCATGCGAACATGGAACGGGTGCTGGAATACTACGATGACCAGGTAACTTCAGTGATGAGAGTTTCCATGACCATTGCTTGTTTGTAAGACGACCATGTAGCCACCTTTTAATTCTACATCACCAAGGAAAACTTCGATAAGAATTTGAGCCAGTTCGGTCCTCATACCACTATTTTATCATATGACATGTAATAATTAATCAATTGAACCATTCGTTCGCCTTAAAAAAAAATCAAGTTCCACTGCTTCTTTTGAGACCGATGGTGAAACACATTGTTCTTAGAATAGCAGGCGACATCCATTATTTCAGACTGATAACTCATAATCTAATATATATAGACGATCGTGACTGACTGACTGCTTGGCAATTTTTTTGACAATAAAAATCGGTAAGAAGGGGTATATCATCCCGGCGGTCCCGAAGCGGCGGCATGGTTATCGGGAAAATATTCAAGCGGTACCAGAGATCCTCACGGAAACGACCCTTGCGGACCTCTTCCTGCAAATCTCGGTTGGTGGCGGCAGTGATCCGTACATCGATTTTGATGGTGCGAGAGCTGCCCACCCGTTCAAACTCGCCATCCTGGAGGACGCGCAGCAGCTTTNTGTTTTCCCATAATTTTTGCATTAGTTAAACCGATAGACATGGAAAGCTGGAGCTTTGCATGAATGTGACTACCAAGATATGGAGTTAAAGAAAAATGTTAAGTCTTGATACATCCCCGGGGAAAATTTCTCGATGGGCGATGCTTAAAAAAAAAAAGAAATTGTCTTGGCGAATTGGACAGAAATGGAAAGGTGAAACTTGGCACACGGATAAGTGACATGATATTATTGAGTTGAAGGAGTATTCAGCTTTCATGGTGCATCCCCTCCGGGCATAGCTTTTGGGTGGGTCGGCTTTTCCAAACATGATTTTTCACCAGTGAAAAGGGAAAACGTATAATATTGAAACTTTGTGGGCATGTAGTTCACTGAGGTTTGATTTCTGTAAAAATGGTACTTTACTGTTATAACGCCCGAGTTCAGATATTTTCCAAATTTTCATAAATTTGCTGATTCAGCAAAACAGAGGGTGGTAGAAAGTGGATAAAAGTGGATCTTTAAAAACGTGGAAACGTTTTTAAAGATATATATAGACGATCGTGACTGACTGACTGACGCTAATTCTAACCATGTTCCAGAAAGGTTAGAAAACTGAAATGAATTAATCACTCTCCAAGGTAATGGAGCGCCGAAGGCGCGACCATAGCGAGTTTGTTTGCCCGAAGGGCAAACTAACTCGCTAGTTAGATATACTCATAATCTGCCATAAAAGGAAGTTTCTGTCACACTGAAATGATTCACTTTTATGATTTATTACCCGACAGGTTAGAATGTAACAATTCTATTGTTCCTGTCAATATTGTCAATTGCTCATGTTCCGACGAATAATTACTTCAATCTGGTATTCCATTGAATGCAAGCCTACAATAAATCATCTCCGTCTGAAAGAAGTCAGAAAACCTGATAAGTTAAACACAGAAGTTCCTTTCTAATGAGCTTACGAATGTCCATCTTCATCTTTGCATTTTTCAATTTTTTTGGGTAAGGTGCGGCTAGTACGCAAAAAGCAGATGTTGAAATTCTGTCAAACAGGTAAATCTCGTACACTCCTTTACCATTTTCTACGGGCCAGCAACCTTTAAATGGGTCGCGGAATCTTAAGAACAATGAGTTCCTGGCAAGAAAATTTGCTATCCACTTCTAGGTCCAATGTTAAATTAATGGTGTCAAGAGGCGAATCCGCCTTTCTAACGTCCCGGGTAGAGGCCGAGTGTTCATTGTCATAAGATAGACCTAACCCTCCGAGAGTTAGATATATCAGCATGACCACTTACGGCCTAGTTCCCTATTAGCACATAACATTGATTAAACATGGATTCAACGTTGATTCAAGGCCCGGATGTTGAATCAACATAGAATCAATGTTGAATCAATGTTATGTGGTACTAGGGATGTTTATATGATATATACGCTGCTACCTTTTTAATTTTATCAATAAAGTCATGAAGTTTTTTTATGAAGCTAGGCACATTTTGAGGCATCAACTATATCATCAATTAACGCATTAAACGCGTTCAGTACCCTACAAGTGAAGTCCTGTCGCAACCTACACCTCAACTGGGATTCACGCAACTTAAGTTGGTTCCCTCTCGTTCTGCTGCTGCCATCGAACTGGAAAAAAAAACTTCCAAGCTCTTCATCATAGATTTTCTTAATAATATGAAATTCCTGGATACCGCTCGCCAACCTCTCGAGTGAGTAAAATCCCAACGCTTCTAAATGCTTCTCACATGGAAGTCACTACTTAGAATAGTTTTTTTTTCTCTTGTGCAAAGATTTCGCTGCTGACGTGAATTAGTGATCAATTCTTCGGGATTCGCATAGGGATTCGTCTGGTCCTATTGGAAGAAAGGCACCGGAACGTAGACTCCTTCTGCAATGACAGTCCCAATAGAAATGGAGTTTAGTTTCTAATTAAAAACCATGTTCAAAGGTGTAACGGATTCTCAGGCGATTTGGAGCAAAATGGTGGCGCATATTATCCCATGCAAAATGCTTTCATCCGCAATCGGGTCACGGCTCATGAATAAAAAAAGAAGAGACCGATCGCAATATCTGCCGTTTCCCCATAGAACCTATGGAAATGGCAGACAAAAAACAGGAGAAATAGCAGGAGACTAATATTGAATTTCCAGACGATTGCAGGATACTGAATAATGGACAAGGAATAGGAATAGGAATAGGTGTGGGGAGACGACAGATGACACACGAAGCACAATTCCAGCTCCCGATGACTTTAGTTCCCTTTCTTTTCCCGATTTTAGACATGCCTATTTTTATTCACTGTCATTTGAGCCTTGCCATTAAAAGGTACCTCCTAGGCAAACATCGTAAAAATTCTCTCTAATCCGGTCTCTCTAATCCTGCCGACAAATAGATCAACCTTGCTGATTGGAGCATTACAGTAGAAGGGAATAAAATTCCAAGGAAGCGAAGGAATACTAGGAAACAAGGATTCCAGTATAAACCTAGTAATGTTAAACTGGATTTCAATAATCGAGAAAGTTGTGGATGGTACGCACATATTTCATGTTCGCGGTGCATATATTGGAAAAGGGAAGCTCAGAAGTATAGTATACTAGAGAAGAGTATAAAGATACCGCTGGAAGTACATTAACTTGTCCCTTGACAGAACAAGATCTATGGCGGATTACGAGACTAATAAGGAAATGGAATAGCGTAACTCCAATTGCGGCAGTTGGAGTCGCGATAACGTAACCGCCCCCCCCCAGTTTCTTCGTTCCCTTCGGTGTTTACAAAAGTTAAGACTCTTTCAGAAATATTAACTGATAAGGCCCTAATAGACATATTTGGTTTGGATTAGGTAGGGTTTGTGGAGTACATCCCCATCACATTACCTGGAACACAACCGAACGTCCCAGGACTTGATGGCCCATTTCTGCCCAGGAATGAGAAATTCCATCGTGGATTCTGTCACTTACAACTCAATGATTGTCTTTATTGAAGCCTGACTCAGGGATATGAATACGTTGTTGTCATCGACGTTGACGAGATGATCGTCCCAAACCCGCCATACAGGACCTGGCCAGAACTGATGCAGCAGCTGCTGTCCAGGAACCCTGGATACGATTGCTATTACTCTCGAACCAGGATTATTTTTATGGAGGAAGGGGAACCTACCGGATGGCTTCAGGATTACTCCATAAAACTGAGACACACGAAAGCGGCAGAATTCCCCAATGGTTCATCTCGGGTCGGAAAGAGCATATGCGTGACCGACAGGCAAGAGATTATGTCCAACCATTATACGGTGATGTGCTACCCAGGTGACTGCACCTACTGTACGTACCACACTCCTAGAAATGCTGGGGAACTGTATCATTACGGGAAATGCTCGGTCGGGAATTGCACCGGTTCGGGAGGGAATGCCACCTGCGACGGAGAGAGCTGTGAAGTGGTTCGAAAGACTTCCCTGCTGCCTCACGAGGACTCCGTCCGGCAGGGCGTTCTCCACACCTTGTAAGACCTCAATCTTCTCTCGTGAGCGAGGGCTTTCTTGTTGAGTCGATATTCGAGATTCATCAATAGTTTCAGTGAAAGAAGTGTATTCCCAGCATAACCACGAACGACCTCGACGCCCAAAAAGTGTGCATGTTCATCCATTTCCGTGCATTGATGGTGCCTTCAGTAATTTACGATAGGGCTAAGTTTCATTGCACGATATGTCTGCTGATAAGTAGTAAATAAAGAGGTGAGACCGGAAAATGCGCGAATTCATTATCTTGATGAACAGCGGCGATATCAGTGGAACTTGAAAACGTTGTACTTTTTTTTAAATCACCATCGGCCACCCGGTCAACAACAGCGCCCTCTATCGGGATACAGCGCCATCTTGCATAAGTGAAAGAAACCTTTGACTCAGGAACCTCTCTGTCAGCTGGATCAAACTGTCCCCTAAAACTTGAAAAGTTGATTGATTTGTGAGACGGTAGAGCACAGGTCCTCACATATCAAATGATATGGAATGATCCACCTCTAAGCACCTTTAATTCACCTCTAAATGGGCATCGCGCGACTTAGACAAGGGTGCTGGAAAAGGCTGGCAAGCAGTTCAATATATTGTATCTATGAAATATCGATCGCGTATCCAATATAATTTTTTTTTTTGCTGCATAACATGTACCTATGATTCTCCCATAGAAAACGGTAGAGCGTTTTTTTAACGACCCTATATTTGAAAATCTGCTTGCAAGTCCGAAACAGTAGCAACCTTTTCCATGGCATAACTTTGGGAGTGTGAAATCGACCTAGCCGTTTTATAGAGTCTGAAATCAAGTACTACTTAGTTCTTGATGCAGTACTTATGAGTACCATCATAAAAGACAGATGATGAGCAAGCGGTTAGGAATCCGAGAGCGTTTTTTGCCTGCCAGCCTGAGTCAAGGGTACTACCCCCCCTCGAAATCCCCTCTAAGGGGGGGTAGGGCGGCTGCGAAAGGCATACAATTCCTCTCTCTCCCGTTCTCAATAATGAATCCGACAGCCGCAACGGCCGGAAAGAAAGTGCGAGGCAGAGAGAGAGCGAGACACACCCAGAACCAGACAGGAGAAGGCGCCGCGCATGCGCACATGACGCTTGCAGACATGTAAACGCCTAAGCATAATATTTAGGGTGGACAGAAAGTCTCTGAGAGGCTTGATGCCCGTATATTGGGAACGGGATAGCTTAGAAATATGCAATATGCATAATATGATAGAATAGGGCACACCAAATCAAACATCTCACATTTCCACATGTCCGCCATCTTCGTTAAAGCATGCATGCAACCTTCTTGTTACTTATCCAGAACTGCCTCCAATTAGGCAGGTGTGATGTTCCTTACTGCTTTCCCAATGACCGTTTGGCTATAATTTTTTCATTTAATTTACTAAAGTAAAAAGTCAGGTCTGGGGACCAGTGCGAGTCCTTTTGGCTGAAACGTTTCCAAAACGGGGAACGGGGAGGGTTCATTCCATCGCCTATCAGGTCCACAGATATTACTCCTAGAGACTTCCATTCATAGGGACATCCTAATAACATTATTAGTCGCGTCTTCGGCGCTCCATTACCTTGGATAGCGATTAATTCATTTATTCTTTGGGAAATGGCAAACACATTTAAAGGACGTCAAAATAGAAATACGTGACTTATGGGGACGAAAGTCTTGATTTTGATCGAAATCATTACTTCTATGATTTCTAGTCAAACTTTTCTTGTGTCCCTTTTTGTCAGGGTGGAGAATACATTTTGAAATACTTCCCTCCTATAATCTAGGCTAAGGAGACATATTTCAAAAGTAGGATTTTTCAATACTCAGCCATCAAAGTGGTACTTCTGAGGGAATTTGAAATTTTCTGTCACTGTTCCGCTGGATTAAGAAAAATTCAGGAAAATGGGACTGAAAAAAATTGCCCTAATGGGTTATAACTAAATTTTTTTTCCTTTTGAAATGTAGACACATGGAACTCCATGCAACCAAGTTTCAGCCTTAAAAAAGCATTTGGAAAAGCGACCCGCCCAAAGGCTGTGCTCTAAGGAAACGCACAACAAAAGTAGAATTTTTCCTTAAATAAACATCACGTCCATTATGCGTGCGCCAGCTACTTTTCTATTTCTGCCTGATTCGGTTGGATATGAAAAATGATTTGAAAACGTTACGTCCCCAAGAAATATGAACCCAAAAAATATTTTGCAAATTTGACATTTGGCATTTCAGCTCAGAGCGTCACTGGTCACGTTCTTGCCAAGTTTCAACTTTCCATGCTTGATTGAAGCGAAGAGAACTATTTGGAAATATGTTCCCGAAAAAGTGTGCCCCTATGGCATGTATCACTAAAGTAGAATTTTTACTCAACTCAGCATGCGAATAGCTACTTATGTCCGTCAGTCAGCTACTCACAATAGTCTATATGTAATAAAAGTAGAATTTTTCCTTTACTCAGCTATCCATTAGGTACTTCTTGGCCAAGTTTAAACTTTCTAGCCCCCTCTCTCCCCCTTTCCCAGGTCATGGGGGAGAGAGGCCTTCAAGGCCCAAGTCTCTTAAGCTTCAGATTGATAACACGGTGGTCGGTGAAATCCAACAGTAAGGAACAAGTAATCGCGTTGTCAAAGTATCAAGAAGAACTGAAAATATAAACATAAACATTTTTGGATAAAAATTTCAGTTTAAAAATAACATCGTCAACGGTAGATCCTTTCCAACGGCAGTCAATGCAACATTCGCTCTTATTCGTGCAAGGAAACCAGGTCTGTATTTTTCCTGAATAATGGCCTGGAACCGTCCCGAGGGAAAGACAGCAAACACCGTGAAATATTGTAAAGTATCATTTTTATATATTGCCTTTCACTCATGTTAGACTAACTGATAAGCCAACTACAGGCGCGGAAGTCCAATAGGAGATCAACAAAACCGCTTCACACGTTCATAAGTTAAAGACGAACGATAAGATAAGACAGATACGACCCACAAATCAAAAGAGATTAATCTTTACTCCATTTTGTGAATCGTTCGGAGCCAGGTTCGCTCTGGCAATGGGATTCATCAAATTATTGACCGGAAGAAAAGGTAATTTGATTTCTTAGTTATCGCTGAGCAATCTTCAAGGGAAACGATTGGCATCTACGCGTTGTGGACTCAATCCAATTAGAATGAGGTTATTTTATTTAACTTATTCATCAGCACGTGTTCCATTTGTTCCGGCTGAAAACAAATATTATTATCTGTGAGTGGATTAATTCGTGAAGTAAGCAAAAGGATTTCAACTAAACATTTTACGTTAAAATTTAAGCATGCCGATGTTTAATAACAGTTGTTATCGTGAAATATAATATTGAAGATGCTTTATTTGTTCATTGGGTGAAATTTCAAAAAAAATGATTTAAATTCATTCATAAAAAATATTTTAAAAATACGAGAGCTATCTGGCACGGAATGGTTAAATTAAGTCTCAAAATTAAACCCTGTTCTCATTTCCAAAGAAAGTGTCCGTCTTGAAAATGCTCAGACGAGAAAACTTGATGAAAATTTCCCCATCTCTGCACATTTTCAAAGTCCTACTAACTTCAGAAAAATAAATCAATGTGAAATAGAGACATCGACGACCGCTATTGAATTCATCATTAAATTTAGCTTTAGCTGATTGAATTCATCATCAAATTTAGCTTTAGCTGATTGAATTCATCATCAAATTTAGCTTTAGCTGATTGAATTCATCATCAAATTTAGCTTTAGCTGATTGAATTCATCATCAAATTTA